ATTTTGGGGCTATATTGTTAGGTACACACAAGTTCAAAATTACTATATGTAGTGATCTTCTTTTATATATATATAAAATTGGTTTAGTCTGGTATTAAAACTATGTCAGCTTTTGGCTGGGTGCGGTGGCTCACGCCTGTAATCCCAGCACTTTGGGAGGCTGAGGTGGGCAGATCCCAAGGTCAGGAGATCGAGACCATCCTGGCTAACACGGTGAAACCCCGTCTCTACTAAAAATACAAAAAATTAGCCGGGCGTGGCGGCGTGCGCCTGTGGTCCCAGCTACTCGGGGGGCTGAGGCAGGAGAATGATGTGAACCCAGGAGGCAGAGCTTGCAGTGAGCTGAGATCCACTCTAGCCTGGCGACACAGTGAGACTCCGTCTCAAAAAAAAAAACAAACAAAAAAAACTACATCAGCTTTTTTTTGAGACGGGGTTTCACTCTTGTTGCCCAGGCTAGAGTGCAGTGGCACGATCTCAGCTCACTGCAACCTACACCTCCCGGGTTCAAGGGATTCTCCTGCCTCAGCCTCCTGAGTAGCTAGGATTATAAGCACCCACCACCATGCCCAGCTAAGTTTTAAATACTTTTAGTAGAAATGGGACTTCACCATGTTGGCCAGGCTGGTTTCAAACTCCTGACCTCAAGTGATCCACCTGCCTCAGCCTCCCGAGTAGCCGGGATTACAGGCGCCTGCCACCATGCCCGGCTAATTTTTTGTATTTTTAGTAGAGACGGGGTTTCACTGTGTTAGCCAGGATGGTCTCGATCTCCTGACCTCGTGATCCGCCCGCCTCGGCCTCCCAAAGTGCTGGGATTATAGGCGTGAGCCACCGCGCCCGGCCTCAGCTAGTGATTTGACAGAGATTTCCCTAAATGCTTGGAAACAAATGAACAAAAACATTACTGGTCTTTGCAGGTTGGTTCTGTGTTGGGGCACTTTATCAACATTTGGCCAGGCCGTTTACAACTCTGTCGTAGTTCTCACCTCCTGATTGTGCAGAGCCTAATGGTCGACCAAAGGTGGAAGCTTAGGGTCTTCTTAGGTCATTTCTGAGTATTTGTCCAGCCCTGGGAATGTGTGTAGTCTTCTAGATTCCCTAATATATCTCCTTTCTCAGTCTCTTTCTTCCCAGACTTTCTGGTCTGTCTACTGCTTGACTCACCTGTTTTCTCTTATCTCAAATGGGTGAGGCAAGTATATTTCCCTTTAAATGTTTTTAACAAATGCTACCTGGGAGGCTGCTTCATCCCTGAGAAAGTTCTGAGGCAGGTGAAACAAAGGCAAGTCCCTGGACCAATCTCTTAGGTAATCATCAGACAGGTCCAAACAAACAACCATAATTCTTTGAGAACGAAGTCTGTAATGTAATGAGATATCGATTGCACCTCTGCACTCCAGCCTGGATGACAGTGTAAGACCCTGTCTCACAACACACACACGAAAATAGCTCTTTATGCTGGTCACTAGCAGGCTTCGCCAGGAATTTGGGCTGCTGTCTTCATAGCCATTGCCAAGCTGTGGGGGTAAGAGATGCCCAGCAGGTAAGTTAAAGTGCACAGTCGTTTCTTACCAAAATCCAGCAGCTTCTTCCTTCATTAAGCACTCCTCTGGCTGTTCTAAGTTTTTAATTAGATTTGGGTTCTGAATAAGTTAGTTCTGACAGTTTTTGCTAGGTTACTCATTGCTACAGTAGAGAGACAAAATTTTGGAGTTCCCTATTATGCCATTTTTCAGTGACACCACTCTCATTAAATACGGAATGTTCTCAGTCATTATCAGTATGAATATTTCCTCTTCTCCATTCTTGCTACTTTTTTTTTTTTTTTTTCTTCTGAGACAGGGTCTCTGTCTGTCTTCCAGTCTGGAATGCGGTGATGGGATTACAGCTCACTCAGCCTCAACTTCCTGGGCTCAAGTGATCCTCCCAACTCTGCCTCCTGAGTAGATGGGACCTCAGGCATATGCCACCATGCCTGGCTAATTTTTTGTGGAGACAAGCGGAAGGTCTCATGATGTTGTCCAGGCTGGTCTTGAATTCCTGGGCTCAAGCAATCCTCCCATGTTGGACTCCCAAACTGCTAGGACTACAGGTGTAAGCCACTATTCTTGACCTCCGTTCTCTTGAATATTTCCTCTCATCTATTCTCTTAATAAGTTTTAAAAATTTTTATTGAAGTTTTTTTCTTTATCTTGAACTCCTGGCCTCAAGAAATCCTCCCACTTCGGCCTCCCAAAGAGTTGGAATTACAGGCGTGAACCACATGCCAACCCCTCCCCCTGCTTGTTTTTTTTTTAAGAGATAGGATCTTGTTTGTTTCCCAGGCTGGAGTGCAGTGGTTATTCACAGGTGTGATCACTGCACACTACAGCCTTGAACTCCTGGACTCAAGAGATCCTTTTGCCTCAGCCTCCTGAGTAGCTGGGACTATAGGCACAACTCACTGTGCCTAGCTTCTTGACACCTCTTTTATTATTTTTTAGACAGGGTCTCGCTCTGTCACTCAGATTGGAGTGCAGTGGCACCATCAGAGCTCTCTGTAGCCTTGACCTCCTGGGTTCAAGTCATTCTCCCACCTTGGTCTCCTGAGTAGCTGGAACGACAGGCATGTGCCACTATGCTTGGCTAATTTTTAAATTTTTTTTTGTAGAGACAGGGTCTCCCTATGTTGCCCAGGCTGGTCTCAAACTCCTGGACCAAAGGGACCTATTCACCTCAGCCTCCCAAAGTGCTGGGATTACAGGTATGAGCCACCACACCCAGCCCGACAACCCTGATGGATGTTCTCACTCCATGTTCTGTCTCAATCTCTTTCTTATTTTCTTTCTCTCTGTGTGCTGTGTTCTGGGTAATTTCCCCGTACCTTTCAGTTAACAGTTCCCTCTTCAGCTATGTCTGATCTGTTTTTGAGTTCATCTACTGACATTTTTATTTCAATAACTATATTTTCTATTCTAGACACTGTACTTTTAAAAAATCTGTCTATTCTGTCCTCATAGTGTTTTATTCTTTTCTCAGGACTCTTATGTCTATAATCACTTAAAATATGTTATTATTCTCAGATAGCTCTTCTATTATCTCATATTCTCAGGATTCTAATCCATCTGTTGTGTTTGTTGATTCTAAGTAATGGGGATTTTTTAAAAATTAGGTGTTTTGTAGTTTTGAATTATTAGTTCATTTTTGACAAGGTTTTCCCCCTGCCCCTCTGTAAGAATCTCTTCATGCCCTGATTGTGATTTTGCATTTGTTTCTATCAGGAGTCCGAGGATATCAGCAGAATGTCGTCAGACTGGGATCAATTTTTATGGCAATTCCCAGGGATGAAGGTTTCTGGGCTACATGAAGGTTTCTAGGCTGCAGGTAACAAAAATTCAAACTCCAATCTGTACAAAGGGCAGGCTTAAGGTTTCTATTTCTCAAGGAAGACTTCCTCTCTGCCCACTCAACACTCAGGCAGAGATGAACATGTTTTCTTATTCCTCTGTGTTGGGAATAAGAAGGGTATGTGTCTTTGTCCATGTTTTCCCTCAGTGGGTAGTCTTTCCAGGGTGCTGGCTTTATACAGGGTTTTCAGTTCTAAATTCCCACTTTGCTTAGGATCAAGGCCTTATTTCCTGACTTGAGAGTGCATGAAAATTCATGCTGTAGGTTCCTGAGACACTACCTCGTGGACCATTCCCACTCATACTTTGCAGCTTATGTGATCACTGCCCCGTTTTCCATTTCTGGCACCTCTGTGTTTTCATTTCTTTTTTGTCCACCATTCATTCAGTTAAAGCAATACTGGTTACATTTCCCCTGGTATTTTTAGATAAGCACAGCAGGAAGATTTTCAGGGTTCATTGGTTTTTCATCTTGCTGGAACTAAAAATGTCTTCTCAAGCTCCTTGTTTAGGAACTTGTCCTCTGCCTGTCCTTTTACCTTGTCCTCTGCTTGTCCCTTTTCTGAGAGTCCTTATTTGGCCCTCCTGTCCTTTCTCCTTGTATTGGAGGTCCTCATCTACCTCACCAAGACCTCTGGATCCCTAGACCCTAATAGATTTTAACAAGAAGGCAGGATGAAATGTACTCATAAAGCTAAGTTCGAAGCTTTTTTCTGCTACTTACCAGCTGAGTGAGCTGGGGGCAAGTTACTTGGCCATTCGAAGCCAATTTCCTCAAGTGTAACGTGAGTGAAACAGTGAACAAGAGGGCTCTGGAGGCAGGCTGTGAGTGTGCAATGAACAAAGGGACTTGGGAATTGGGGTCTTCATTGACTGGCAAGGGGTTAGGTGGGTGTGCCCTGTGATTACACAGGTGAGGGATTCAACTCCATGAGTCCTCAGGCACGGTGTCAAGCAATTTACATTTAATCCTCAGGATTGAATGTCAATTCTGCAAGGAATATGACTGTCCCCATGTTACAGATGAGGAAACAGGCTAGGAATGAGTACTTTGCTCAGTTCTGTCTCATTCCACTAGATGACTGCTTTGGGTTGAACATCCTGATCCAAGCATTCTTTATAGGGATATTCACTGGAGACCTAACGCTGCTTTAGAAGTGATTTAAAAAAAAAAAAAAAATCCCATTTTTGTCTTATTTTATTGACTTACGGGAGAGTAATTTTCTTCTTTGAATTTTGGGAATGGGGTCCTTCTGGGGTGATTTCCTGTCAAGTGTGAGCTGGCACAGGAGTTCGGAGGAACAACTGATTGCTACACCTCCCCTTCCCGTAAAGAGACCAAAGGCTCAGGCTCTCTTTGACCACCGGGTAGGTAAGAGTTCCCCACTCTCACTCCAACACACACACAGGCTTTTTTGGAGCATTTTCTGCCTAGCTACCCCTCTTGCACCCAGCTGCCTCTGCCTGGGCCCCACTGATGTTGTGAGCCCCTGACCCAGGCACAGATATGGGAGGTGAGGTGTGTCTCTCCGTTCTGTGACTTTCCAGGTGCCAAAACACACACATAATCAGCGTTCTGGATTCAGGCACTCCCCATCGCCCCTTACTTACAGAAATGGGCCACAGGATGAAGGGTATGTATCTATGAACGGCAAAGCTGTACAGCATGATGAAGAAACTGAAGATGGATATCTCCATGGTGATGATAAGCGTCAAGATGGGGTGCACGCTGAGTGAGGACAACAGTATCATTGCCGCTATTAGGCAGCCCTGCAGTGAGACATAGACACCTCAGCCAGCAGCAAGGGCCGCTCACCATCTCTCTGTGAGGACCCCTGGAGCCTACTCCTCCTTCTCCCCACCCTCAGCCAAAGTCCCCCATCCAGGCATACCAGTCTAACTCACCAAACTCAGAATCTTGATCTCAGCGTGCCCCAAGAGCCAGAACTCTTTATTGCTGTCTTTTAATTCCCACCGGTAGCGGCGACACCCCTTCCTCGTGCCCACTTCGTGCTTGGGCTGCACCAACTTTTGAGGTTTTTCCAATGGCTCCTTATCGTCCTTCTTGTCCTCCTGGGGTTTGGCCCCGGCTGGAGGTGGAGCTGGCTCTGTCTTGGCCCCTTTTGCCGCCTTAGGTGCCATGACTGACTCGGTGTCCTTGACTTCTCACAGCTGGCCTGTTTCTTCTCTCTCCTGCTGTTTCTGGGTAGGCCAGGCCTACTAGAGAGCCTGGTGTCAACCGAGCGGCTCAGAGGGCGCGCTCAGCTAACTGCCAGGACCACCGAATGCCAACTCCCACGCCCTCTCCACGCGCGCCCGTCTCCTGGCGCAGCTCCCATCCACCCCCGCAGTGGCCGGATCCGCCCACCCTCCACGCGCCGGCCCCCGACGGGCCCCACCTCCGTTCTCAAACCGCTGGTCCCACCTCGGCGCGGAGCTGCCCTCGCGGTCCCATCCCGGCGTCTCCAGGCAGCCCCAGGTCTGTAAGCCGCCGCTCCGCTGCCGGGTCGAGGGGCTGCGAGCACCGGGTCACCACCCTGAGCTCCGCGGGCGCAGCGCCACGCGCAGGAAAATACAACGCGACTTGCGCAGGAAAATACAACACGACTTTTACACAAGGCAAAGAGAGGAAGCCAGTGTTCTCAATAAAAGCAGTAGCGCTAATTTTATGGTCACATTTAGGCCGGAATGGGTGACAGCACGCGAGCTCGGGGGTGGGCGCGGAGGCAGAGATTGGACAGACACGTGCATCTGCTAGGGCGCGGGGCTGGCTTCAGGCGGGCCTCTGCGGGGCGTCGGGGCCGGTTTCGGGGTAGGTGTCCTTGGCAGAGGAAAACTTGCTTTCAAATTCGATTCCCAGAAATCTTTTCAAGTTAGTCCTCATCATCTTGGTGACCACAAACGCATCGATGCAACACACGATTACCGCTGTGAGACACAGGGACTGTCAGATACAAGACCATATGCGAGAAGGAAAGACCGGGTTATTTTGCAGGTCGGTAGCAACCCCTTGAACCTATCCCTATCCAGGGTGGGCGCTGCGGGCGGCCTCCTGTCCTCTCTGACCCTTCACTACTTTCTTGGCGCCTGCCCAGTTAGCTGCTGCAGGTCCACTCTGCCTTTCCCAGAAAAAGGGATTTTGGAAATGGGGGATTTTGTTGCCAGTTATAGCCTCGCTGGATGTCTGAGGCACCAGGAAAGGACTAGGGAAGGGCAGTGGCTGCAGGTAGGGGTAGGTCCTGAAAAGGCCTCTCCGTGGAAAGACTTTTGGGCTATGTTTGCAAAGGGCAGGAAGGAATTCCTAAGGGGAGGAGGAGAACCCAGGCACTGGACTAGGGTCTCTAGGGAATCTGGTGTGCCCAGGACCTCCGGAGCCAGCTGAGAAGTGGGCAGAGTTGAGGCTGGAGAGGTGCAGGATCTGGGACTCTACCAAAGAGGTCAGGTGTGAGACTCAGAAAACCTACTTTCAGTGGCCATGAGGTGAATGGAAAGTGAACCAGGCTGGAGGCCGGAAGACCAGTGAGGGGTGTGGTGGGATGCTGCGCTCCAGGCAAGAAATGGAGAACTGGGGGTGGGAACTCCTGGCAGTAGAAGGAGTGATTGCGGAGTCAGCCGATGGGGACCAGAGGCCCATGGCACAGATACTCCCCTGTGCACTCCAGGACTCTTGACAGCCTTGGATGCTTCTCTTTACCGTCACTTAATTCCTGGCTGCTTAATGAGTTTTCCTAGGTGTCTTGCCCTAGCGAATCTGTGAGCTTACCCAAAGGGGAAGGGGCTCTATCCCCAGCACTGAGCTCATGTCTGGCACGATCCAATGGGATTGACAGATATTTATTGATTATGGAATGAATTCAAATAAACTCCTTTTTCTGCATTAATTTATGTTCTCATTGTTTAACTTCTTGCAAAGCCCTACCTCCCCTCCTGACCCCCTGAATCTTCCAAGCATTTGATCTGCCATTTCTTTTGAGTCCCAGTTTGTCCCAGTCTTGTGACCCAGAGCAAGGTATTTAACCTCAGTTCCTATATCTGTACAAATGGGAGTTGTAAAGATTAAATCAGAGTGTGCCTCGCCTGGTGCAGGGCATATACTGGGCACTTCAATGTGTGGCAGCTAGCTTGCTTGCTTGCTTGCTTCCTTCCTTCCTTCCTTCCTTCCTTCCTTCCTTCCTTCCTTCCTTCCTCTTCCTTCCTTCCTGAATAGGCTGGATTATTCACTTTAGACAGTGCACTTTTCCCCCCTTACAATCTCTCTTATCTGTCTTTAAAATACAATTCTCTAGTCCAGAAAATCAAAGTCCTATTTATAGACAAAAAGATCTTGCTTAACATTTCAAAAATAGTGTCTACAAGTCTCAAAAGGGGTTTAGCAGACTCTTGTTTTTGTACCTATTTGGAGAATGCATGTTAGAATTAAGATTTTCATGAGCTCAGAGTCTGTGCAACTTCATATCACCTGAAGAAGTCAGTGCAAGAAGGAGAGTTGGTGGTAGTGGGGATTTCGCTTGGTTAATGATATAACGGGGTCTGCCAATTTCCCTTTTCAAAGTCTTGGAATACTGAATTTTTTTTTTTGAGACGGGGTCTCGTTCTGTCGCTTAGGCTGGAGTGCAGTGGCGCTATCTCGGCTCACTGCAAGCTCTGCCTCCCAGGTTTACGCCATTCTCCAGCCTCAGCCTCCCAAGTAGCTGGGACTACAGGTGCCCGCCACCATGCCTGGCTAAGTTTTTGTATTTTTTAGTAAAGACAGGGTTTCACCGTGTTAGCCAGGATGGTTTCGATCTCCTGACCTTGTGACCTGCCCGCCTCGGCCTCCCAAGTGCGGGGATTACAGGCGTAAGCCACCGTGCCTGGCCGGAATACTGATCTTAAATGGAGTCATGAAGGCCTCTACTTACCCCTCCAACATAGAATAAATGCCTTCTTTTCTTTTCTTGCATGGCCAAGATGGCAACTACTGAAAGGAACACAGCTGTAATGATACTGTTGGTAAGATCCTGTAATAAAGAATTGAAATTTATCAAGTTTACACAAAAATATAATTTCATAAATATTAAAACTGGTCAATTACACATCTAAGAATAGGTGCCTTTTAAAAACTTTCCATTTGATTAAGATGAGGAGGCACCCTCAGAGGCATAATTCTTACATCGTCCAGAGACGTGAGTTTATGTGATTTTAAGATCCTAGATATGACTTTGTCTGTAGAAACAGGTTTATTTTCATTAAAGAATACCATTAGAAAAAAAGCTGACAACTTTTTCTATAAAGGGAATAGGAAAGTGAGCATGAAAAAACCTAGTGGTCAAGGGGCCTAGCCCAAATTGGCTCTCCATAAATGTGATTTTTTTGGAAAGTCTTGTTTTTTTAATGTAAATTCTGCATTCTATTCCATAACTCATTTGTTTTAACATAAAAATAAAATTTTAGATGAGCACTTTAATTATTGGTTTACTTCTCCCAAATCTGCAGGTAAAGCCAATGCTCTGGAAATTAGGCCACATTTATTTTGTGAGTTCACGTGTCCCAAGAGCATATGAACTCATCTGAGGAGCAGGCCTGATATTCTGGAGTGAATGTTTTTTGCTCTTTCCTGAAAGATGGCCAGAATTGGGTGTGCCCCGACATCTGCAGGCTCATTGTGCCCCTTCTGCTTTCAACTGGATTTCAGTCCTGAGTCTTTTGTTTTTTTTTGAGACGGAGTTTCGCTCTTGTCGCCCAGGCTGGAGTGCAATGGTGCGATCTTGGCTCATTGCAACCTCCGCCTCCCAGGTTCAAGCAAATCTCTGCCTCGGCCTCCCGAGTAGGTGGGATTACAGGTGCCTGCCACCACGCCTAGCTAATTTTTGTATTTTTTTAGTAGAGATGGGGCTTCTCCATGTTGGCCAGGATGGTCATGAACTCCTGACCTCAGGTGATCCATCTGCCTCGGCCTCCCAAAGTGCTGGAATCATAGGCGTGGGCCACTGTGCCTGGCCAGTCCTGAGTTCTTTAACTGCTAGCCCAACCTGCTTCTTTGTGTGCTGAAATGAAGAGTGAGGATGAGTGGGTGGCAGTGCCCTCCTGGGTGAGCAGTGGCTGAGCTTTCTTAGCAAAACAATAATGGAAGAACGAGAATGCAGTGTGTCAGTGGCAGCAGTGTATGGCTAGAGGCAAAAGCCTAGAGAACATAACCACAATATTGGCCAGACACCTTATCTGAATAGCTTAAGTCTTTGAGTCTTGATGGTCTGCCTTGGTAATGTCATCTTTCTGGTGCACTAGTCCAAACACAGCAAGGAGCACTGCCATCCAGTGTATGTTATCATGGAATCACAATGGCTCCAATGGAGCTCTTTGATGTGCCAAGCATTTCCCAGTCCATCATTTGACCTCATTTAACCCTCACAAAGCAGCCTCCAGAGTCAGAATTGTCATCATCCCGTTTACAAAGGACATGGTGGAGGCTTGGAGTTTTTCAGCTGCCTAGGGCTGAATAACGGGTGGAATCAGAACTCATCTCACTATTGCCTCCCATCAGTGACACCCAAATAAGGAGGAAATGAGCTATTCTCCTAGTCTGGAAGTGCAGCGTCCAATCCATCTTTGGCATTTTCTGCGGAATGGGTCTGGAGGGTCAAAATGATACAGCACCAATCAGTTGAGTATTTTTGTTGATGAACTCTTTTGGCCTGCCAATTCCTAGATGTGGCATATTTTATCACCAGTCTGCCAACTTGCTAATTTGTAATATGGGGACAATGACTGCGGTTCATTGGGTCTAAGGATTAAATGGCATAATGAATCTGAAAGCATCTGATAACATGCCTGGCATTTGTAGCTGGTGGGAGTGCATCAAAATATAGGTTCATATCTGCCCTCAAAATGTTAACAGATAATAAACTCTCTGCAAACTCTAGGTGTTCTTCCTGTTGGGGTTGGCAACCGAGGAGCCCTATTGTGGAATGTGACTTGCCTCTTGGAAAGGCACTAATGCCTACTGTTTTGGTGCCTGGTAGTTAACGCTGGAACAGGGGTATGTAGCAGGGCTGGTGGAGGTTGGAAGTAAGTCCCAGCGGGGTTCTGCAGGCTAAGCGAGAGGTCTGCCCATAGTGGGCAGGCCTGACTGAGGCAGGTACAGTGGTTTGCAGCTTTGCAGGAAGCTTACACCTGAGGATTGTATAAACCAAGGTACTCAAAGATGTGAACAAGGACTTTTACAACTGAGAAGCAGAGTGTAAACTTCAAAAATCAAATATTCTTTTTTTAAAAATTGCTCTCTGTTGGCCAAAATATCTATATAACCAGAGCTCAGTTTCTCTGACCACTAACCAGGTGTGGTCTTAGATTACAACAATTTGAACAAAAGCACATCAATAATGATAAT